GTCGAAGGAAACCAGCCAGCCACGTCGTGTCTCTGAGGAGTTCCTGCCCTTTGAACTAGCCTCAGAAATAACAGCCTCCAAAGCTCCAATGTATATTGAATTATGTTACTGCTCCCTGCTCAGGATTGACTTCTTAAAATCAAAGAAAACAAAAAAAAGAGCATTCATGTTGCTAGAAGTGGTGGCTGGTAACAGAAAAAAGAAGTAAATACATGCAAGAAAAATCTTCCAAGTTGCCTTTAAGACCTTTGCATGAGTTAGCAAACAAACTGTGCCCCATATCTCACTTTCCTCTTCAAACGCTGGTTTCAAAGCTAATTTTATCATTCCTGATAAAAAGTGACAATTTATTAGACACGGGCTGTAAAACCCAGGCAGCTCTTACACACCAGCAGCTACGGGCTGTGCACTGCTGAGACATCACACACCTCACACTTACATCCGGGCTGTCTGGTAACACTCATTAACACACACATAGGAGCCCTGCAGTTCACAATCAGACAGCCTGCTTGAAATTCCGATCATCACCTCCACAGTGATGCATTTTCTATGAGAAATTTGATAGGGGTACAAAAGTACTAAAACAAGTCAGCAGCACAAGTCGCACTCACTTTAATAAAATCTGAGTTTTGCTATTTTGCTAGATAAACTCTCATCATCTCAGTGGCAAAAGCTGGTAGGTACACTTTACTAACAGCCACATAACACTGTTAAGTCACTGTAAGAACGAGAGCCACAGCTTTTTGACAAGCTCTGACACTTCCCTGGTTTGCAGGCAGCCTTTAAAGTTCCCTGAACAGCACAGACGCTGTCTCATGGCAATCCATTCAAGCAAAACTGAACTGTTTTCCTATGGCTGCTTGCTTTTCTTAATTATTTGGCAGCCCCTGGACACAGAAGCCATGCATACCCACGCTTCGGGCAGAGCAGGAGCAAAAGGGGCCATGAAGCACTGCAGGGCTGCTGAGGCAGACATACAAAGCAGCAGAGGGACAAGGAAACAGGTCAGACATCAGCTCTCATTTTCCTGGACAGAGCACCAGCTTCACCCACAAAATAACACCTTACCCAAGGAGGCAACTGCATGAATTACAGTCAATGCTGAGGAGTGGAATCCCACTTGTGGTTCACCTTCTGTGGCTCACCTTAACATCCGTACAATATCCTTTTAGAAACACAAACAATACGAAGAGGTTCCATGTCAGAAACTAATTTGCAAGGCAGTTATTTTGGTTTGGAGTTCAACTCTGGAAAATTAGGAAGCATCATATTTAGAACAGCATATGACTTAAAAAGATGATTAATGCAAATGGAGGTTAACAGTTACGTTTGCATACTAATTTTCCTGCAAATCATTGGCTCATTCAGTGCACTGGATGGCTCACACAGGCAGAACTAAGCTTCTGCAACCCTCAGCCAGACGTTTGCTGACTGACAGGTCTTAGGTTTAGCAATCCAAGTATCTGAATATTTTAAAGTGTAGTTTTAATTCATGTTTAAGATACAGTTTTGAATAAAAACCTAAGCAGATGCATGTTGTTATCCTGCTTAGTTAAGTACCATTCAAACTCCCTTCTTGCTTTGGGTTCACAAGAGCCTGCCTTTCATCACTCACACAACGCCAATGACTCGGAGAGGATCACCTATACGTAATCAGTAGTGACCATATAACAAAACATGGAATTAAACCCTAACACACAGCACTTGCCTTGCCAAAACCCAACTGCAGGCAATAGGTGGACTGAAGGAAACCTCCCACTGTCCCATTTGGCCTTAACCTCCACTGAAGACTTTGTTGGGCGAAAAAAAAGACTTTAAGCTCACCACTGGGAGCCTCTGGAGCCAAAGTCACAGGACAAGTTATTCCACATGATGATCAACTAAGGTTTATTGTGCTCCACTTGAAGCTGGAAGTTCACCAAGCACAATGATGTCCATCCCACTACACAACAATGAAACCCACTCTCTGTTTTCCAACCCTACAGAGCACAGATTCACTCCTCATGTTATTACACCCACCAGGACCACTGTCACCGAATCTAACAGTGTGCAAAATCCAGATAGGACCTGCAGGGACAGAAGGGAGGAAGGCCATGAGTTCTCCACGCATGATCCAGAAGCAAAGGCTCTGCAAATAGCACTGCGTTGACTCTTCGACAATAATACAAGACAAAAAAGACTCCAGCCCACTCTCTTACAGCAACAGTGGTTCTGCAGTGTCCATAAGGATGTAAGTGCTGTCCGTTAAGGAACACCAGTGTCCAGCAGATGAGTTGAGTACTATGCAGACAGTACACATCATTTGTTGCACGTATAGAGAGTGCATGCAGATTGGTGTTACACTAAGTAACATGATTTAGTTCATTACTGTTCTATTGACGGGTAACGCAATAATCTAAATGAATACTGGTAATAAATTAGAGGTAAACTTCAATCTTACCAGGGTCTCAGAGGGCAATCCATTTTCTCCCAGTCTAGAAGAAATCACATTAATTACAGTGAAACCACATTCCTGACCACGCTTGAAATCTCACTTCCAGCACAGAGCAATTGAAGCAGCAACCTGTGATGCAATACTGCTGCAGAGTCAGCAGCTGCAGCGTGCAGCCTGCCGGAGATGGAGCTGTCAGCAGGCTGCTGGCCAGCCCGACTGTGGAGCCCCTGCTGGACCCAGGCTAGGGCAGTGCACAGCAGCACCTGGAGCAAGCAGAGACAAAGCAGAAAGCCGCTTGTGGCTGCCACAGAGAACCTTCAGAACTCACATCCAACTGACCTTTGAGAACACAGTGATGGGGACAACAGTTACACCGTGCACTGTGCTCTGCATTTGCAGTCAGCCATGGTCTGGAAGCACTTCAGCTGAGCAGCAGCTTTTGTTGGCACTTGCACTGCAAGCTTACATAGCTCATGTCTTGATTTTCTTACTGACCTTCTTGTGAAACAGCTGGAGTCAAGGTCTTCCTCTCACCCACTGTTCCCAGTCTGCACTCAGAACTGAATGCACACTCCTGTGAGACATTCTCATTGTCTGCTCTTGTGCAGAGCGTGCTCGCAGCATGCTGACAGCACCCAACTTTTCCCACAACTTAAACCTCTTCCCAGCCTCCCAAGAAAGAACACTCCTTATGCACAACAGGGGACAGCAACTTCCCACCTGGATAGGAAGCACCGGAACAGGGCTGCAGGAACCCCGCTTCGTTCCAAAGCATGCAAGAATGAGTGTGCACATACACCGCTTCAGGAACACGGGCTCCCTGCTTGCAGTCCCTCTTTGCTGATAGTGAACATTCCCTAGCAGCACTCAGGAAACACAGCACGTTGGGAGCAGCACACATATGCTTCTCATCCAGCACCCTCTGCAAGTGAGAGGCACTCCTTCCCTTCTCTACTCACAGCACAGACCTCATTCACAGGATCAAGTCGTAGTTGTTTCCCCCCCAAGAGGTAACAGCTGCAGAGCGTTAACCACAAAGCCCTATTGCACAGCACCATGCAGCCCAACACCTGTGGTACTCCTGACCAGCATCAGCCCTTTTACAAACAGCCTGCATGGACCTGCCTGCAGGAGCCAACAGAGAACCGCTGGCTATCAGCACCCCACAGGAGCCCTAATGTTGCCCTAAATGCAATAACACTTTGTAACAGACCAAGGATGTGCGGGTCACTCACCTTGGTCTGGGCAGGATTGCAGCCTGCATGCACCACACCACCAGGCAGTGGCTGTTGAGCAGAGCCCGCAGCACAGCAGGTGCCTGCACCGGGACCGTGAGTCTGCCCGCAGCTCTCTGCTGATTACCTGCACACGCAGGCAGCTGTGTGCACACCGAGTTCTGCCCCTGTCGCTCCTTCCATAAGCAATCACTTACAGCTGTTACAGTGGATTCAGGTGCGTGCCTTAATTCACACACAACTTGTAGGTCAGCCTGCTGCAAGCGCCAACCGAGAAACCCCTACAGGGGACACCCAACGAGCTCTCGTCCTGAACTCAGTGCGCAACAAACTCAAAGCCCGCAAGTCCACTCGCTGTTCACACACAACCTTTCCGTGCCACGCCGTAGCAGGGCTCCCCGCAACTCTCCGCGCATAGCAGAAGCGGCCTACGGAGCTTGTAACGTGACAGCAGCGCACAGCTCCGCAGCGCGGCGCGGATCTCGCCCAGCCCCGCACGACGGCGCCGCTGCGCGAACAGCGGAGCGCCTTCAGCCGTCCCGGGCCCCGAGCGGCACGACGGAACGCAGCGGCCCAGCCGCCCACCCCGGGACAGCCCCGGTCACCCCGCCGCGGGAAGTTGGAGGGGGGCGGCGCCGCCTCCAAACTTTCCCCGCCGTGGAAATGCTCCAGGCGCGCCGTCCGCCCGCGCGGCCACTCCGCACGGAGCCGGCCGGCCCGCCCGCCCCGCGGGACCCACGGCGGCGGCCCCGTTGTGCCCGGCGTCGTGCACGGCCGCGTCCGAGCACGGCACGTACCTGCTACCTGCCGCACCGCACCGCGCCGCACCGCATCACGTAGCTACGCTCCGGCGGGGGCTCGGCGCGCGCCTCGCGCGTGAGCAGCACCGCGAGGGGAGAGCGGAGGGGAACGCCGCGCGCGCTCACGCTCAGCCGCCCTTCCTCCCGGGTCGCCTTGGAAACGGCGCGCGGCGCGAAGAGGGGGAGGAGGAGGAGGCGGTTTAAAGGGGGCGCGCGCGCGTGCTCGCCACGTGTCACGTGGGCGCCGCCGAACCAATGGGCGACGGCGGACGGCGGGAGCCGTAGTACTACGGCCCTGGGAAGGTGAGGCGCGAGAGCGCGGGGCGGGGCGGCGGTAGCTCCCTCCCCTCAGGGGCGGTAGCCCCGCCCCCTCCGCTGGGTCCCCGCGGGGCGGGAGGCGCTGCGCGGTCGCTGTCCGCGGGCAGGTGAGGCCGGTGGGACGGCAGGCTGCGCTGCGGGCCCAGGCTGAGGGGCCGTCAGGGTTGGGCTGGGCCGGACCGGGCCGGGCCGGGGCTGGGCTGGGGCTGGGCTGGGTTCTGTCAGGGCGGCCGCCGCGCCGGGGCTTGGAATACTTGGCTGTTAACATTCCGCCTGTGGTTTTGTTTTGTTCCGTCTTTATAGACAGCGGCATTACATAACCGCGTACAGAGAGCAGCCGCGGGATTACATGATGCAGATTAGCGGCGGCGTCGATTCAGCGGATCGCCCTGCGTGTGTGTGAGGGGCGGCACGGCCGTGCGGGTAAGCGGGGCTGCGCGCAGGGCAGGCAGCTCGGCGTTATATGTAGTGAGCTGCAGGCAACCACCGCGGGATGCGTCCCACAAAGCTGCCTTACCTCCGCTTCAGGTTCTTACGGCTCGTTTGTGTCCTCGCGAGGAGGTTTTGGACGATAAGCTTGGCTGTAAACGTGCTGTCAGGTTTCCTTGCTGAGATCCTGGTTTGCTGCAGGTGGCTGGGTTCTCTTCTGATCCCTGACCGCTGTGCTGACATCAGTTACGGCCCTCGTGTAATCAGGGTAACTAGAAGTTGCCACCTGAATAAGAAAATAAACTCTTTTTAGCGAGACTTGGAGGTAGCTCTTGGAGGAAATAAGAGCTGCGGGGTACTCACTGCCTTGGGAAATATCAAGGACACATCTTAGAATGTAAGCCAGGAGCCTACTAGCAGATTGACACAATTCCCAACATTTCTCCCTTTTTTCTTTCCAGTACTCAAATATTTCAGCTTGGACTGAGTGATATTTTACTTTTTTTCCCCCCCTTAAAAAGAATACATAATGCAGTAAAATCCTATTCGGCAAGGTATACCTTAATATAAATGAAGGGACAGTGTATGTGTGAAATGGTCATTTGACTGAAATGATCTTAATTTGGGGGGAGAGTTTCACTAGAAATTAATTTTAAGAATGCTTGGATAACAAAGAGCCATAAAGCACAATCCAGATCCTTGTTCAGTGTGGCTTTTTTTTTAATCTCTCTATGCTCATTAAGATTTCCAGCTACCATCTGCTGGGGATGCCAACCCATGAATACTTAGAATAGTTAACCATTAAAAGTACACAAACGTAAGTGATAATTACAGCTCACTGTTCTCAGTATATGGGGAGCAAAGCGCACAGGTTCATTTAAAGACAAATTTAATGACTTCCAAAGGCTTTTCCCAGCCATGTATATTAGCACATAGTTTTGCCAGCCCTGAACCTACTACAATTTTGTGTCTGAGTCCTCAGTCTGCCCAGAAATCCAGTAGCAGTTCCCAACAAGAAAAAAAACTGTAGTCCTTTCCCCCAGTGTTTCATTGCCCAAGAAGCAAAGAAGTGCATCTTTTTTTTTTTTTTTTTTTTTTTTTTTCTCCCCCACGTGCTTCACTTTAATCTGTGATTTCTCTGCAGTAGAATTGTAACCTGGTATTTCTGTCACTTCTGCAGCATTCAGCAGGGATTACACGTTTGCTGAGTTACTCCTTCACAGGCACAGTTCAGCAAAGTACGTACACATGCTTTAACTTAGTGATTTACAGGGGACCAGGATGTTGTTAATTCTGAACACAATTTAAATCCTTTCCTAAACTGTAGCCCTTAGTAACAGAATCAGATTATGAACATAAAGATGAACAGGGCTTTGAGGTAATTGAAGAGGCTAAAACAGTATCCATATTTATCTCTATGGGCATTGGTGACCTAACCTTAATGTATAAACAGTAATCTTTCAAACAATACATTGTTACTGTCACTGTTCACACCAGTTTAGATAACAAAGAAGTAGGAAAAAAGATAGAACTGACCTGAATGATTTTCCATGATTTAAACTGGTACAAAGCAGAACAGACTGTATTAAACTTTAGATTAAAATACTCTAATTTGGTACACAAAGTAATCTTTCAAAAAGCTCCCAAGGTGCATGCAAGATAAGCTTTTAAACGTGCACAGTCTTGCATTCCTAGTTTCTGTGTGCATAAGATATAGTTGTGTCTCAAAAGAAGACTTTGAGTTGGGAAGCTGTTGAGTAGATGAACAAATGATCCCTTAGTTGCACATACTAGCTCATGGCACGGATGTAAACAAGTTAGAATCAGGTTTAGCAACAACTTCTGCTATAACAATTTGTTTACCTTGTATAGCAATAGATCAGTGTATTTTTCTAACGAGGTGGAGAGCCTGGTTTGCTCTGATTAGGACTCTGATACTTCAACTCTGGTAAGACTGAAACAAGCAATGAAGAGAAAAACATTTACCTGTAAATGCATGACTGCCTAATGATTTACTTTAGAGTCTTAAACAAACAACAAAGCACCACAACTATGAGTACTGTCAGCAGCATCTCTCTTAGAAGTGATCTTAAACCTGAACCTACAATACTTTATTAGAGCTTAAACACAAAATAGAAATGTACGTCCACACGTACATCACCTTGGATTGTTCAGGTGATGCACAGACTTGTGTGCTTATGTTGTAAGTACAGAAAACACAAAATTTGAGATGGGCTTCTACAGAGAGTTTCCTTTGTAGCACTAGAAACTGGAGTTATTTCTGGTAAAATTGGGATTTTATTGCATTTAACCATTTAGTGGGAATAAATCATTTAATTGAGAGAGAACTTCCAGGTTCAAGGAGAATAAATACTACATCTTTAAATGAGAGAGTAATAAGGATTATTTTACTGCTAGTAAAATAATAGTATACTACTGCTGCTACTCCTAGCATTTCTTCCAATACAAGACAATTTGTCTGATTATTTTATTTTCACTTTAACATATAATTAGGGGGAAAAAAAGAAAAAAAAAAAACATTGAAAAGTAAGAACTTCCACACGAGGCTTGTTTAGTAACTTACTTGGTATGGTAAACCTTGAGCATGCCTTCAAAGAAAACAATATAGCAGTAGATGCTTGTAGTTGGCAGAATGGTTGCTTTTTAGCAGTGTGAAGATTGGCTTCAGTGGAGACTGACAGCTTCTATTCCGTATTTTATAAATGATTGTCCACTTTTAAATCCAATACTTTTAGGTATGTAAGCATGCTTTGGTGTGAATTTGTTTTCACTCTGTGGCCTTGCCCTTAGAAGTTAACAGTATGCTTGAATGCTTGCCATTAAGTTTGAGCTAATGGAATTTACATGTAATACTGCTGTCAAAGTACAACAAATGTCGTAGCAGCAGCACTGCAAGATGCATTCCAGTAGCTGCTTCCTGAGGGGAAAAGGTCACTGGGATGAATAATGACATGCTGCATTTACACGTTTCTCTTTAGGTGCCGTTTAGAAGAATAGCTTCTGCCCAAGAATTAGAATTGTTGGAATAATATGCGAACAGGTAATTTCTTCCAGCTCCTTACTTGCATATATATAGATATATATAATGAGAATTCATTAAATTTGCATTGATTTTGACAGCTGCCCTTGGGATCATCATAAGTGCTGCATGGGAATGTCTTCACTTACAACCTGTCAGTGGAACAAATGCTCAAAGTTTGCTTTGTTCAGTCCTGGTATTTAATGGGTTGTGATCAATAAGCATACGGTCCTCACTTACAAGTGAGGAAAATTGCTATAGCAATTCTTGGTCAACATTTCCCCCCATTTCCCCTTTTGTTTTAGCAGACTTCAGGCCTGGGCAGTCCATAGACTTTTGTCCTCCGGACCAGGCACTATACTTGAGTCACCATGTGGATTATCAAGGCTAATTTGGTTCTCTGAGGGTTAAGGTGGTGTTGAGCCTTCGTTTGCTTTTCTTTCTAATAGATAGGATGGTCAAGTTAATTAAAAAAAAATCAAATGGGAATAGACAAGATAGTTTAGTGACAAGTGTTCATGAATGTCCTTGAAAAGAGAAATCAGTGTATTTAGAGGCTGCTGTTACCTCTGCCAGTTTTAAATAATCAGTTTAGCTTTGTAAGGAACAATCTTGTTACATTCTTTTCCATCCCCCCTTTCAGCAAAAACAGACATCAAATAAAAAACCAAAACTTTTGTGTCTTCTCTTTAATCTCTCACGTAGAAGGATATATCAGAATGCAGATAAACACTGTGTAGAACGTATGTTGATAGCATTTCTGCAATCATATTAATTGGGCAATTAAAAATGCAAAAGATTTAACTTCTCATCAGCACTTGACTTGTTAAACTTCTCTATCTTGATAATACCAGTCTGAATGTAGCATGCATTTGACTTTCAAAATGTACGATTAGCATTTTCACATGACAAATTGTAACATATTCCCCCATTGTTATTGTAATTGAGTTTTTCCTTGCACTTAACCTCCTCTGATTCTCTGTTATATTCTTCTGCATCATTGACTATAAGTTCAAAGGGTTAAACTGTTACTTTCATGCACTCCTGCCCACAAATACAAAGCTACAGCTATCAAATTTGACCCAAACTGCAGTATTTTGGTGCAGTGGGTACTGAATACAAGAATACACCTTTTAGAATAGTAGCAAAATCCTCTACTAGTAGAAACCAATTTGTATTTATTTATTTACTGTTGGAGTATCCTGAATTTTCTTTTCTTTTCCTTCATAATTGTGTGGTCAACTTAATACTGTTTTACTTGAGTACTTAAGTAGTAGCAAAGGATTCATGTGTAATATGGTATTAATGAAAAGCACACTTACTTGTAAAACGGGGCACCTGGCCTCCATGGATGTGGGTGTTTGGTAGAATTAAGGTTACAATTTTCCCCTTAGCATCAGAATGAAGCATAGCTCTAGAAAGAAACAGCCTGTAGAGGAATTGTCTGTAATTGCATTCGAAAAGGTTTTGAAGGCCTCCTAGGCACTTCTTGTTCTCTCTGGCTTGCTTTTTATAAGACTACCTGAGGTGTATTTCCAGAACAAAAATGCCCAGTTGGATCCCCAGTACATGGATCACACTGTAACAGTGAGAAGATCTTTTTCCTAAATACTCTGAATCCTGAATGACTGAGGCATCTAATTCATTTCAGTGCTCCACTGCTACACCAGTTTGAGACAGTCAGACAGGCCTCTGTCTGCATAAAGAAAAAGCATACAACTGTAAAGCAGGTTTATAAGGCAGTTAATATGTTCCCATTAATTCTCACAAGAATTCCTTTGAAGGCTTTTCTTGAGCTATCTGAAATCCTTTTTCTGTGGGGCTCACCCTGTCTCACATTTCCAACTGGTAGAATCTCAACACTCGACTCCCTCAGACACTAACTGGAGCTGAGGCCAGGTCTAGACTGAGAGTTTTGCCTTTTCTCACTTGGTGCTGGTATCTTGATGCAGTGCTCATGTATTCAGTATTCTCTCTTTTCATTTTAGGAAGAATGTGGCCTTCAATTCAATTGCACTGCCACAGAAGTTTCACTGTTATGTTTGAGTAGACTGAAATGAAACAATTTGTAGTTCATGTTTTCTGTTGCCATTTTGCACTCAGTTACCCATGCAAAATAACTCTAAATGTCTTTCCATGGTCAACTTGCAGTAAATTATTTGCCAATAGACAAGCACAGAAAGCCTCAGAGTTAAAATAAATTTCCATTTCCCTCCTAATGACATGAGGTGGAGCACATGTTTCTGTTATATCACATCCTGAACCAGTGCAATAAGGTCAAACACAAATAATCTTTCCAGGCTTATGTCTCTCCTCCAGGTCTCTAATTTATCTGCACACGTGCCAAAAGGTCCAGTTACCATTTGGATGGTAGCACTTGGATAGCATGAACATGAAACTTCAACCCTGCTGATCTCTGTGCTATAACTGCCTTGGTCTTAAAATGAGATATGGACTCCATTCACACTCCCATGACCAGATGACATTGCTAAGATGGAAAAATATAAAAGATGGGGAGAGTGGAATTACTGAAGATGGTCCAGTGCATGCCAGGGAGCATAGTGTGGTTGCTGCACAGCATAAGGAGTGGCTAACATTTTCCAGTACTCCTAGAAAAGCCAGATTTATTCCACACACAAAGTTTTACTGCCCTCTCAGGCAGAATGCCTTTGACCACACTTTCTCACTTTTGCCTGCAGGAACAAAGGGGAACCACAGCTCTACTTGTTTCCTGAAAAACAAATGAAAGTTTTGATTCCTTGTAAACAATGCCATATTGTGTACAGAGCATGTCTTCTATACATAAGTAGTGAGACAGCAAATTCTGATTTTCACAACTTCTGGGAGAAACAGCAGCACAAACAACACCTAAGGTGTGAGGTAACACACTTCTCAGGCTTGCGATGCCAGAAGGCTGTTCTATTTTTCTTTTGATCAAGACATTGTAGTTTCATTTGCTAGGTGCTCGATTAGTTGTTTAACACTGGTGGTGTCCAGCTGCTATAATTCAGCACCCAATGCACCTGAACCACAGCTGGAAGTATTCTGGGATTATCTGTACTGACTCTTTCTCTCTCACAGAAGCTAGTTAAGCTCAAAATGATTTATGCCACTAGAGCAGGACAAACTGGTTTCCATGTCATGTGTATCTTTTAACTGTGTATGGGTGATGGTCAGGAAAGGCAATGGAGAATCAAAAGCTCCTCTCTGGGCACAAGAAAGTTCCTGCATTTATTCATAATGGTGACAGATTTGCAACTTTTTTTATATAGTCACAGTTACAGAAAACAATTCTGCAAGATAAATGGTGCTCTACACTGATGGCCTGAGAGGCAAGACTGAGTCTATATTTGTTCTTAGTGTGCTTTTTTTTGCCCTGGTTTGTTTTTCTTAAAATGAAGCTGCACCACAACTCGTCCCTGAAACACACACACACATGTGTATTTTATTTATATATATATATATATAATTTTTTTTAAAGTGTAATTATTAATGAAAATACAGAAATCTCAATTTTTCACTCTTTGTTTTGGTCTTATTTTTAAGATCATGAAGAACTCTGTGGCACCAGTTATGGATCTTTTTGTCTAAATGGAGGCATTTGCTATATGATTCCTACTGTACCCAGTCCATTCTGCAGGTCAGTGAAACTAAACTTTGTGTGTTTAAATACTGGATAGTAGCTGTCTCAAAACTGTTTCTCCATTTTGCTGCTTTAAGAATGCACTGTTAAACCACTGAATGAAAGAAAATAACTGTTACTGATGGCTGTCTGAAACTCAGTAGTTCACACTCACGTAACTTACCAAGCCCACAAAGATGACAGTAAGGAAAACCAAATGAATATACCTGGGGTATATTTGTTTGATGGATGCAACAGCACTCAGTTATGTATGAATTCAGGATGACTTCTCTATTAAAGCCACGTTTCCTCCCCTCATTACAACACAGAAGGGAACAAAACACCCTTTTCTGAATGGAGAATAAAGTGTAAGTCAAGGTATTTGGAGTGGCAAAGTACCTTCCCAGTTTTTCTTCCAGGTGAATTACACTGCAAAAATTCTGATCATGCCAAAATGGCCTGACATGAAGAAAAATGGGAGGCACAAAAAAGAATATTATTTTTTAAGGCAAAAAACCCCCATGAATACAAGCCAAGCCTTACCATGTTCTCTGAATCACAAGGAGATGCTCAAAGGGCAGATTTGCAGCAACAGCCAAAGACCACTTGGTGAAGAAGCATCTAGGCAAATGTAAAACAAAGTAAATATAGATATCTGTTAGTTTATTGGGCCATTCTTCCCTTCAGAGTCCTGCTTTTGCATTCGTTGTCTGCAGTCCTGCTTTTGGATTCCCTGTATAAATACAGACCTATCCTTTTATTTTCTTTTTCACCAATACATAAAATGATGCCGTATTAAAATTTAATTGCCATGGTTCTGCATTTACTAATTCTGAATTATTGTTCATGGAGCTAAATTATGGTTAATTTTATAGGTTTACATAACATAACAGACATTCAGACACCTACTGCCTATAGTTGTGGATGCCACCTCTTTCCTCCCTGTGGCAGCTTCTGTTCCCTCTTCAGTCTTGAGTTATAAGTAACAGTAATCGGGTGAAACAGAAGAAGGAAACAAAATGTTTTCTAACGTGCCTAATTCAAGAATTTCTTCTGTTTAGTGGGGGACAGTTCAATCTAAACAAGCAAGCTCAGGCATGCAAGCTCACCTGGTAGACGAGGAGAGAAAAGGAATTCTGTAGTAAATGCCAATTAAAACACAAGCACAGCATATCACTGCCATGTCTACTGTCCAGTGTCATACAATGAATCCAATCCAGAAACAAGGATAAAGCACAAGAGTGATGTAATTATAGCTCATAAGCCTCACCAACTTCTGTGATGTAAAACACATACTGCATGCATACACAAAGTAAAACATGCCTTTCGGGTACCTTGATTGATGCGTGTTTTTTCCTGGAAGGAATCCCTTATTATTGATATTTAAATGCTTATGTGCAAAGAAAGTAGGCTGAACAGCATTAGTTATATGGTTTCAAAGCACTCAGTCTTGGCTGTTGGTGGACTGCATAATAAGGAAGGCATATTTGATGAAGTAACTGTAGATAAGAAGTAACAAATATTCAGAAGTCATTCTTCAGGAGTGCAAGCACAAGAAGCTTCAGCATAGATAACTTCCACTTTAAAAAAGCTCCAAATGAAGTCATTTGTAATTCACGTGCTACATTTTGTAATCTGCTGAAGCAGAAAAGTACCATCTTAAGAACATTTCTATTACACTCAGGCAATCTTATTGCATTTAAATTATCAAGTATTTTTCCTCTGTACCTACTGGTTGATTATGAAGTTATAAGGGTTTAAATAGAAGCATTCTATTTAAGCATGTCCTCATTCTAAGCATGTCCCTTAATCAGTTAGAGAAAGCTAATTATAGATGAGAAAGGTTTTGTTTACACACAGATATCTTAGTAATCAGCAGTGATGTGAATAGAAACGACAGAAAAAAACGCATCGCTATTCAGCAGAATTCAGGAAAATATTCTGCACCCTGGAATTTCAGGACTGTCAGCAGCACAGAACCACAGCATCGCACAGTTGCTCCGAGTTTCTCTGATACAGATTTCTTGCAGAGCCCGCTGACAGTTCCAGGTGTTCTCAGTTGATCTCTCCCACCAACACAAAAACAGCAGCAGCTTTTTGATTCAGACTGCTTCGTGGTTAGCACAGTGTTGATTAAAAGAGCCAAATGGAATAAGAACGGACCAGCAAACTGTCAAAATACCTTAAAACACATTTGCCTTGGCAAGTTATTCATCTAGACAAATGCATTGAGCTAAACATAGTCCAGCTTACCTGACGTGATGTCACTGGAAGTGATTTGACAACATAAATGGGAAAACTGCATCGTTCTTTAGAAAGACGTTTCCTTGCATCCTAGCAAATTAAGAGACACTGTTCACTTTTGGATATTTCAGTTCTTTATGCTGAAATATCCATTCGGAATTAGATATATATACATCGTAGAGATGTCATATAAATAAAACAGTAGTTGACCTTCTTTTCCTCCCACAGCACAACACTGCAGATTTTAAATACAGCTGATTACGTTAAAACATGAGCTTGCTCAGCTGCCATCTTCCTTTGTTCCTTTTCTAACAGAGTTAATGACCTCAGCATCAAAAGGCACATCTGTCACCATATGCAAGATAAGCTTCAAACCTGGGAATGCTCAGCCATACTAAATAAACAAACACACAGCAGAACAGAGAAGGCTGTGAAAGCAGATGCCTCAGGTGTATCACAAAATGCTGGGCTGAAAGATGTTTGCCTCAGCACCTGATGTGCAGCTGTCCCATCATCATTAATTAAAGCAGTGCAGAATTAAGATTTCATTGTGAGGTGAAGTTCTGCTGTTTCCATGTTGTCTTACACAGGACATCCCTGAGAACTTCTTTCTCATTTCAGAGAAGATACAGGTTGTTGTTGCTGGTTTGTTTGTTTGTTTCCCCCCCAACTCAACATTTTCAGAGCAGAACACACAGTTAATGTATCCTTTAGGATGTATGACTTTACAAGCCATCAGGATATTTCTGTACACTTCATCCTTGTGTGGTTCTTCCTTAAGTGGGACCTTCATCCACTGTTGAATGTCCCCACATGTGATATACGTGCTGTGCCACCAATCCTCAGAATTTACACCTTGCTGAAGACTACTGGGCTTTGCTTCTTTCCCTGCCTTCTAAACCATGCTTCTGCATTTTGAAAACAACTGTTTTGAAAAAACCGTCCTGTCAGTATTTTCCAAGTTTGCTTTTTGCTTGCAAGCTACAAACAGAAGTTAGAATACACACCAAACATATAACCAAAAAGTTAATTATTACATTTTTAATGAGACATAAAAATAGAAATTCCTACATTATCTCATGAGCTTAAGACATATTAGTTATAAGGCTCACCAGATATCATGCAAAGCACATCACATATGGCATGCTAAGGGAAAATAATCAATTCTTTCCACTTATTTCCAGTAGTAGCATGAGATTTATTTTACTCTCTATGGATACGAATGCAGCTTCGAAATATCAGTTTGGAAAATCCTGTGGATGCAGAATTTTTTTTTTAAAGCCATTTAAAAACTTCCAGGTAACTTTGCCATTGCCTATTGACCCAGGCTTTGAAGTCTTTTTCATATTTACTAGATGCCCTTGTAGTGTATGAATTAGTTAAAGAGTTCTACAGACCAAAGATTACAGTGATTTTGAAGCTGTCAGCTGCACAACTTTGATTACATTGGCACACAGCTCATTTTTCAGATATCTTTTACTACTTAGAGCTTTTTGTACATGCAAGCAATTTTTCTATCAGGTAACACGCAGTTTTTTCCTCACTAAAAGAAGACTAAAGAAAAATTAAAATCAACACTTGTCACATAATAAGGAATGAGAAGTCTGTGAGTGCGTCTGAATCAAATCTTACTTCCAATGTTTAATCTGTCAGATATTGCTTGTGCTACCCACCTTAGAGTCTGGAAGAGAAGGAAACCCTGCCTTCTCACTTAAAACAGGCAGCCAGTGTGTCTGCAAATTAGACTGCAGTAACGCCTCGTGTTACTGGAAACTGCTGTGCTTATTTTCTTATTGATGCTTTCTGATCCGATCTCTAACTGTAATTTAGGCCTGCTAGTCATGTCCTGTCATCTAATTCAATGCAGTCTATTTCCTTCCACCTTTTATTGACGCTGCTGTGGGTAGTTCTGACTGGAGTATTTTGTCAGTGTTTCGTCTCCAGCACAGCTGCTATATTGAGTTCATATATAAGAGCTGCTCATCTGATCTGACGAGAGGTGCAGGCGCGTACGTGGGTGTGTGCTGGCATCAAGGAAAGCAGAAGCCTGGATGCTCTCTGAAAGAGGAGTGTCTAGTCTTGACTGTTCTCAAACATCTGAGGGCTGCCGTCTTTCAAATCTGATTGCGTTACAGATTTTCATTTCCTAGAGAAGATTTTTTTTTTCCCCATTTAAAACAAATCAACTTTGGAATGCTACGCAGGACCATTTAGAGCCAACAGACAAATGTTGTTGTGCAACAGCAACACCCAGCCAGGTGACCACAAGTAATTGTTATAACCTCCTCACCTCGTGTATAGCCAAGAAGCAGGCTTCTGTGTCTTTTGTACTCATTCATTCAAGCACCTGCCATATTTAACAACTCTAAACACGTCACGCTTAACTTTTGGTCTGTTTTTAGGCATCCATTATAAACAAGGTCAACCTGGAGCTGTTACTGACTTTGGAAGTTGTGTCTATTAAACCTGACTGCTTCTAAAAGACACTATATAGATACCCATGAGCCCAGATTTTGTTCCTAAACCACATGCTTGTTAGAGGCTACTTTTCTGTCTTGTTTGCAGCCACTGAGTGTGCTCCATTGCACACTGCAAAGCAGATACTATTGATTTGCCAAGACAAGTGAAATGTTTCTAAAATTTGCATCTAGGAAGAATTAATACAGTTAGCATCCAGGATATTTAAGTTTTGTACCTGCTTTTCTTTAGCGTAGATATTTTATCCTTTGCTATAATGTTTCTCCTTTGAATCCTAGGCCTCGTGACTCTTTTCCTCTTGAAGACTTAGGGCTGCCTTAAGGATCTGGTTCTGCCTTCTATTTAGGAGAAAGTTGCCACAGTCTCAATGACCTGTTTGCAACTCTGCCATTGCATTCCTTTTTTTCCTTTTCCCCATGTTTATCTTTAAGCAGAACATGAATATGGTTTCCATGGGTGATTTATGCCAGCTCCGTCTACTGAATCTCAACAGTTCTCCAATCCTGTGATTTTAACCTAATCCTATCTATGCAACTTCCTTTGGCTAGAAGGAAAACTTTATTTCCTCCTGCTTCATTTTTCCTTGGGACCACTGACTTAGCTCCCTTTACACACATTCTCTAGAGCTTTTCCATAAGCCTCAGTTTACACCAAAGCCTATTTATTTGTTCTCCATGTATCATTTTAGCCTAGCATTATCTGACAGTTTTCACTGGTATTCAAGAATGCTGCTATGAATATTATATTCCCTTCTCTATTCCTGTTATTTTATTCGGTTCTACAAAGCATTTCTCTCTCACTTGCTACAGAACAATGCCCTACTCAAGCTGCATTTCTATTCTTCAGTTAAGCTACAGATTCTCAGGAAAAGGCTCCTGAAATGCTGCTATACTTACAATAAATATCTGGAGCATCATCTCAAGCAATCAGAGCAGTCTGCCTATCTTTCCTTCTCCCAGCAGCTGAGTGCAATAATTCTGAGAAGTCTCACATTGTCCTTAGTAAATGGTGACTGTTTGACCAGTGGCAAAAGAAATGCTAGTAGTTCTTCATGTCATTGTTTAGACCTGTACTGAAGACCTTTAGTACTGAACTAGTAGTCCATAAGTCACAGAAAATTGGTGCTGGGAGCCATACCAAGTGAGCGTGGTGATATGCTGACAGCAATCTATTTGTTGGATTTAGATATGCTTGACATTTTTCCTTCTTGGCCGTTCCTTCCCCCTTAACCCCTTTTTAATCTCTTATCTGAAATACCTTGCAGCTGCCAGTGGCAATTCAGATCACTAAAGACGTTACGGAGCTCAGCCCGTTTTCCTCAGATAGAGCCTGAAGTTGCCCATGTCACAGATTATTATGACTTCAGTGCCAGAAATAGCAAGTGAGACCTTCAGGAATAGAAGCAGAGAGGAGCACAAACACACACAAAGATACATACAGAATGTAGTCACTAAATAATACGCTTTCCATTTTCTGTGATGCAGTAAATTCCTTAAGAAAATTTTGCAGAATAAATGCTAAAAACAAGAAAAATGAAGAATAGTTTATCTTCAGCCTACATAATTTTGATCCATATGAATTACTAAGCCACTTAGCAAGTTTGTTTTAATAACAAAATACCATTTTATAATTAGTTTGGTTCTAGATTTTGTGAGTACAGTACAGCATGCAAAGCCTTTCAAAATAAGGTAGGCCTAAGGTCAGCTACCAGTTGGCACCCAACCAGACAAGTTTAAGTTCTACACTGTGACGTACCAAGGAAGCTGCATGCTGTTTAATCCCTCAGCTTTACAGTAAATCCAGACTGGAGTGGAAACAGACTGTACATTAAATATGTCATGTGGAGTGCAAATCAAATTTCACTTTCATGTTTTCAGAATATTTGTTGACGTTACTTGAATTAGGTCGCATGGTATTAAATGGCAGCAGCTTTTAAGTTACCTGCTTCATTTAATGGGTTATTGCAGTTTTAGTCTTGAGACATCTCATGATTTTAGATTATTTCCCCCCCCCCCATTTCTTTTTTAAACCAAACATAACAAGAAGAAATAAAAATGGAGAATACTGAAGGGCGATAGCAATCTCTTAAACAACACAGCTCTATCAGTTACTTCCTTTGCTGCCGTTCTCTGACATACCCCTGTACTTGTCCTTGTAATATCTGAGCCATTGCTGCTGCCACCACAGCTCATGGGTTTACAGCACAGCCTGGCCTGGCAGAGGGCTCAGCTGTCATCCAGGGGTAAGAGGTAGGTCAGAATCTCCTTTGGGTGACAAGTTATTGCTCATTCTCAGAGAGATACAAACATGTTGGAAGCTTCATTAAATAATAATCAGCACCTTGTGGCACCATCTATACATACCTCCAGTGTTTCCTTTGTAGTCTTCCTTGGTAGATATGCTTACTTTTTGTGCATAAAACCCATTTTGGCCAACTTGGCCTACATGCCCAACATGCAACAAGAACTTGCTTGGTATGCTAATTCTTCCCCTCATAGCTAATGACAAGCAGTAAGGCATCTTCAATGTCTCTGTTGCAGTTCCTGACCTACACTCAGCCATCCCTATATGAATGCCTTTACAGAAGCTGCTGTCTTGTCCTCAGAGCTCTCTTTCAACCTACACACCTGGAAGCATTCACAGCAGTCTAGCTGCTTCAGTTTATTCCCAGTCATCATCTCTCACAGTAGATCTGGCAATGACTAGCCCAGCTCGTAAAAGCAGTGCAATAAAAAATGTTATTAAAAATACTATTAATCATATTAACTCTACTAATAACAATGTTATTACTACTACTACTAAAACAGACCATAAGAAACCCCACACAATTCCCCCACACAACCCATCACGTTTAGCCCTAGACCGTGGTCACATTTTGGTTTGTGTCTCTGGTTATGTTTGTGTTTCTGCTGCTTACAGACATCAGGCTACTGGAGGCACTGATTCTAATTGCTCTGTCAGGAGGCTGTTCTGGGAACTCTAAGGGTTTTGCTGTTGTACTTCTTCCAGACATCTTCCAAAAGTAGCAGGCCAAGCTTCAGCCTTGCTTAAGTCAGTCTTCTCTATCTTCATGTTACATACAGACACCACTACCCTCCCAAGCTGCCATCTAATGCCTGCTTGTTTCTATACCCAATGAAAGATAAATACAAAATCCATATTTTAAGGCTATACTTCATTTCTTCATCCCTGCAAACTACCCAAGAACAATCAGATGCAACAGGATTGTCTACAACATTGTTATCACAAAGGAGGCATCCATCTTATGGATGGGATTTCTTTTTTCTCAGATGTATTACTTACCAGCAAAGAAGGAAGCTCTGTTTGAATCTTCTCAATAAACACCAGATTTTCAGATTGGATGGGGCTGTTCTTCAAACAGAGGAGGTTTGATGTGTTCCTTTCATTCCTAATAATGTCTCAATAACGAGGCAGAAGGAAGTCCCAGAGCACTTGTTCAGGCTGTAGTCATTTCGTAAGACCAGCCTAATTTCTGCATAATAAATAGTTTAAGCTAGTTCCTTGCAGCTCTTCAGAAGCCTTGCTCCCTAGAGTGCCTAAGCTAACTGCCTGGGTGTGCAAACAAGCCTTGTCTGAAAGAAACATAAGTGTTCAAGATGTTTTTCTGCACTGTGCAAAACTTTCTGCTTCTTCTGTAGCTTCTGATGTATTGTGAATCCTCTCTTTGGAAGAAGTTTTCAGAAGCTCACTACGTGAAATAAGCATAGGAGGGAAACCTTCAATTCAGTCTCTCATTCACTGAGCACGAATTATTCTCTGGAACAAATTATTTCACTGAAATAAACTACCTTTGCAATTTAAGTGTCTTAGCTCTTCAGGTGAATTCCCAAGGAGTTCTTCAACAAAGAATAGTAACAAGTTACACAAAAGGAAGAAAAGAAAGCATGATTACTATGTGCAAGATAAGATCCTGTGGGATAACTCGGTTAACACTAAGAAGCTGGGTTTCATTTAATCTACCTATAAAAGAGGCAGATTTAACTGCGTGATATATTGTTAATCCAATAAACATATTGAGAAATACACAATTTAACAATTTCATGGAACAACTGTATGAATCAGAATAGAAATGTAATGCCCAACATGCCTAATTCCCTTTATTCCAGAAATACGAGGCAGGTGGAAATGCCCTGAGAAAGTGTGCTATGAAAGGAATATAAACTTCTCCCCACTCTCACCCCACTTAAGACAAAAAGACTTTTCATGCTAGATGACACACAGTGCTCTAATTTGTATACAACTTGGCTTCCCAGGTGTATTGAGAATTACACAGGAGCACGCTGTGAAGAAGTTCTGTTGCCCAGCATCAAGTCTCAAACCAAAGGTGACCTGTTTGCAGTTCTCTTGGCTTCACTTCTCCTTCTCGGAGTTCTTTTAATTGGAACATTCTACTTCCTTTGCAGGTAAAAGTGCTGAAGCTATTTAATCAAGTAGAAATTGCTTCTGGTAATCATGTATTAATTATTTGAATATAAAAGTATGTAATGCATTATCCATAAGGTTTGTGTGGTTATTTAGCATAATTAATGTGGATGTCTCAGCTTGCTGCCTATAATGTTTTACTTCTTTCTAAATGTCTTTTCTAAGCTATTACTTCTAGTCGCTTTCTAAAAGCCAACTATCAGACCAGTTTTGGAGAGATTGCACATTACACCTGGAGTTACCATTAATATTTTAAAATATTAGTAAACCTTTATGTTGTCCAAAGCTTAAGAAGTAGAGGTGACTTACCAAAGTGTAAAGCCAAAGTAACTGGTGCCTTTATACAGCTCTATTTGTGCAAACAAGTCAGTCTCTTATGTCCTCCCTTGTTTTTGAGGTACAATATATATTTATGCCTTTACAGGACAACTTAGTAGGCCCTGTAATTATTAGCCATCACACACGTGAAGCCTCTTGGTCACTTCTGTGCTGCATTTCTCTCTAGTTATAATGTCCTTCTTGCAGTTCTGTTCCTCGCTTTTCCATAATCAGACTGTTCTGATCAGTGCCTTTCAACAAGCAACTTTTGAAGAGCCAGTCTAGTTTCACCCCAGCTGCCATAATAGAAACCTACCAAGTGCCAATTTCCTATAGCTGAGTACACTGAGAAAAGATTCAGGGTATTTGATAAAACAGTATTAAAAATAGTTTCCGTAGAGGACATCCCCCCTTCCCTTGGACATTTAAATTAAATTATTCCTGTCTTATCAGCAGTGCAGCACCATATCAGTAGTTAGCAAAAAAATATTTACAAATTATTACCAAGTAACTAGAATAGAACAAAGCTTTAAATAACTTTAAAAATTCATACAAGTCACAGAATCATTGGAGTTGGAAGAAATCCCCAGAGGTCACCTAGTCCAACTCCCCTGCACAGAACAGCTACACCTACAGCTCGATCAGGTGCTCAGAGCATGCTCCAGCCCAACCTTGCACGTCTCCAAGGGGCATCCACCACCCTCTCTGGGCAGCCTGTACCAGTGGCTCACCAAATCTGTTTGGGCGAGCAAGCTCATCCTTATCTTCTTTGCTGATACCTGGTTGATGAAGGCAGTGGTTTTCATCCATGAGCCAGGTTTTAGTTTCTTTCTCCTCTCAAGAAAGTCAGAAAGGGAGAACTTGGAGCACTTGGTACTCCTTGAACACTGCTTTTCTCACTGTCTCAACAGCTTTCTGAGTTAGGTGGATATTTCAACCTAGAAAAGCAGTCCAGCGTTCCAGAAGCCAAAGATACTGTCAAGTTTCTCTTCTTTGTTAGAAGATACACTGTGTCCATCACGTGCCATCAGCAATACAAGAGGCAAGAGGAGCCCAGTAGAGAATGCAGGACAGGGCTCCCTGGGCAGTCCCAAAGCACACACAGCTGTTCCCAGCTCACTCTGGCAAGCAGAAGCCTTAACCTCACCTCAGACCCGTGATGGTGCACTGAAAAATGAACTGAAAAACAAAGCTGACTGCAGCCATGTGTGCATGTGTTGGGACCACCACCCACAAGCAGCGTTCATCAAACATGGTGCTGTTCAAACACCACCACTTGTCCACGTGCAGAAGCCAGCAGAGCTCTAGCTGGTGTTATCATTCTGGATCCAACTGAGAGCAATTTGCAGTGGGGCATTAATTGCTCCCTGTGTTGGCAGCTGTGGCAGAAGAGGCAGGAGCCCAGCCCTCCTGTGGAGATGCATTGAGGCTGTGTGTGATCTCTGCTAATGTAGCAGTGTTGCTCTGGAGTCAGAAAACGCTTGCTGAAAATCTCTGGGAGATGAAAAGCATCTCCATTGAGAAATACCCCCCAGATATGAAGCTCTAAGATAAACTTTCCCTTATGAAGCCAGTATGACATCTCTTCTTTGGTGTGATCTTAGAAGCATGGCTTTATGTAACATAAATAACACACTGTCTCACATAACTGTTTCTACAGAGGCAAAAAAGAGAAAAATAAAGTCTTCAGAGAGCATAAAATTCAGAAACGAATCCATTATAGAGGCTTTTTCCTCTTGCATACAGTAAAATTAGGGAAGGCTGGAGCCAATTTACTAAGTTTTATGGTCAAAGACCAAATACCAAAGTAAAGAAGCTTCGCATAACAGCAATTACAGGTCTGCACAGCTCCTCTTTCACATAGTTGGAAGTTGAACCTCAAAAACTGCCTTTCCTTACAGAAATCAGTTTACTTAGGCAGAACAAGCAGTAGAGCCTCTCAGAGACACAACAGCAACTCAGTCTGATGACTTAGGTAGCTGCCCATGGATCTAGCTTTCATACCAGACGTCTTGGGAAATCTCAAAATCATGATTAACTTCTCTACAGAAGGCTGACACAGGACAAGTCTGCTGTTGTGTTCTGAGGAAAATAGGAAAGCATTCAAAATCCCTGCTATTACATTGTTCCTCAGGTAACAAAAGGCACGTTTGGCTACAAGCAGTTCACAGGTCACCAGAGATCCATGTGGCCCTTCCTTCTCCAGAAACATATTGTACGAGAAATAATCACAGAATTGCAGGGGCTGGAAGGGACCTCTAGAGGTCATCTAGTCCAACCCCCTGGCAAAGCAGGCTCCCTGCACCAGGTTGCACAGGTAGGTGTCCAGGCAGATCTGATTATGTAGCTGGTTAGCATGTATTGCACATAAAACAGATCTATAACGAGGAAAATATGCAAAGGCCAGAGTGCCACACTTAGAGGGGTAGGGAAAACCCCATGGAATACTAGAATAACTGTGATTTATTTACATAACATATTACAAGACCATATTAAAATGCCAAATTAGCTATATGATAAGCTTATATTGATGAATGGGAACTCCGCCAGCCAAAACCACAGGTCTAGGAATAAAGCCATCTGAGCTATCCAAGGCAGCAGATTTTGTGGAGGAGTTGTACCTCCACAGGACACAAACTGGACAGAAAGGAGAACAGCTCATGACTCTTCTGAAGAGAGCAGATGTCTAATTACTATTAAAAGAAAGAGGGAAAGAGAAAGCAAGGAAAAGCTCTATCTAAAGGATGTGCTTCTCCTCAAACGTAGAAAACATCACACCATTGAAATTTCCCTTCCAAATGCTAAGAGAGGTAAAGATAAATTAAACAACTTTGTGTTATCTACTCACTGTTTAATAAAATCCTGACAAATCAGACTGAAACAGGAACATTAACTTCAGGAGAGAAGCCTCGTAGGTCCAAGTGCTCTGTCCTGCCTCTGATCTCTGTTGCTCTCCCTCAAATACATGCTTCTCAGAAATGTTGGATGTTAATTAGGAAGTAATTGCAGAATAGCTATGTTGCTCTTTTTTTTTTTTCTACTGGAAGTATCACACAATTAATGCTTATTTTCTCTGGTAACTTTTCATTCTGTGTTGTTTTTTCTCCATTTTTTTTTCTCCTATGGTCAGGAAAGCCACCATTGCAAGGACAGATTCCTCAGAGTGTGGTGCCCACCTGGTTGAGACTACAAGCAGCAATGGCTGCAACAGTGAGTGCATTTAAAATGAAGCAATGAAAGCAGGGAAAGAAGATTTATTTAGTGAAAAGCTTCTGCTTTGTTTTTCAGAAATAATAACGGAGTAAAGCATTAGAGTGGAAGAATGGTGAGAAAATGATGTGCAGAGCAACCCTAACAGCTGCAGAGGTTGATATGGTAAGGGGGTTAAGAAAAGAAAGCACCCTAATAGGAGGCCTGCTTTTATCTTAGAGAAGACTGCAATTAATAAATGAAGAAAATCTGCTGCATTCAGTAGAGTTTCTGTGTATTTTTATAGGTGCATCAGATTATTCAGAAATCACTACAACCTACGTTTGAATTTTGTGAGATTTTCCATGACAAGCTACTGGTTTTAGTAATGCACAGATAAGGTATGAGATAGACAGATAGGTAGATAAATAGGTAAATAGATAGATAGGTAGACTGATTTCTGTATGAGAAGTATAACATAATTATCCTTCTCTACAAGAGAACACGAGGCAACCATTGGATTTTTCAGCATGAGGTTATGCTGTGAACATTTGTCCTGGAGAAGCTGAGGACTGCCTCGATTCAGGAGCTTCAAAACCCGTAGCCGTGTTACACGTCCAGGACTTGGCCTGCTTCAGAATACTTCAGAATGCACTTACAGTATTAATTATTACTTTCCTCAAGGCAATAGTTGGGCTTTTATTAACAGAGGGTGAGGTACCACTACTGGTGTATAGGTCAGCTTCCTGATGCAAGATTTTAATTCAAAGAAAATACTGGGAGAACAGATTGGTAATGGTTAGAAGTTTAGTTTATAGAGTATTTACCCTTTGTTTGGTATGTGTCTGTAATACTAAGCAAGGCACCTTCCTTGATATTTTTGTGTTCTTCTAAAAATCTCACTAACGAGGAATCCCAGCTTCTATTTTACAGAGCACAGATGTCAGGAATTTTATTCATCGTGTCCATCCCTGAAACAAAGCAATATGCAGCCAGATGTCTTGGTTAGACAAGTGCTGCCCTCTGTAACAACACCTTTGTTTTATCCCCATCACCAATATCTGAATCACTCTCTGGTTCCTTACAGGGTTATGTGGCTCGGGCAAAGAGAAGCCAAGTGACATGGTCTGTCTCTCCCCTGATGACACAAAGAGAATGGCTGGGTACTGAGAGGCATAGAAGACATGAATTGAACAGTCCTACTTTCATCTCATTTCTAGTGCTGGAGGTTGTGACTAAGACAAAAACCAACATGCATTCATACAGCAGCACATCACCTAGCAGCTCACTACGTGGGATCGACCATGCTGTACTGAAGAAAAAGCTTGAGAACATTTCTGGAAGTGAAAGGGAAGAAAATGCAGAATGCAGATTTCTTATCTCTGAAATAAGGGAAAAAAAGGTGCCTAGAAACAAAGGTGGAAAGGAAGATGTGAATAAGAGTCAATTCCTGGGGCGTCTACTGCATGCTCTGGCATCAGAAAAGATAGCGTCTATTTTACACACGCATAGATGCAAACACAGCAAGACAAAGAAGGAAAGACAAAGTGATACGGTGTATACAGTAAGAAGTCAAGGAGAAAATAATAATATAACAGCAAATAGTAAACAGAGGAAAATGTATTACTTTCTGAGGACTCATGTGAAAGAAGCTGGAGTACGAGCGAAAGCTCAGCATCTGCAGGAAAACATCCCATCAACCAGAGATCCTGAACCAGAAACGTTCCAGTTGTATAAAGCATAGCTTCCTCCTCAAATTAACCAGCTTACATGCTGGTTTTGGGACCCCAAACCCTTGCCAGTTACCCAGGAGGACACTGTTAATACTGTTTAAAAGGCTAGGAAAGAACAAAGTGATTTTTCATCGCATGCGGACACGCCACTGTTAGATTCACAGTTCAGGAGATGTGCAACAGTCCTGACAGCTGCATCAGGATCAGAGTTAGCTGAAATACTCTGCACAGTCCCTGTGGAATTGAGTCAGAGAAGACTGCTGTCAGGCAACCTCTGTGCATTACTGATCACGAGACATTCAGACTAACAGTAACATCCAGCACACTGTTTTCACCAAAGAAGAAAAGGCTTATGGTCATCTGAAATGGAAACTGAGGGAGGAAATCTTGAAGTTGTACTCTGTAAACGGTTAAAACCCTCTCAGCTTTCTAGACAGACATGGAATAATTCTCCAGTATTACCACTCACATTTGCATTATCTGGGAAACAATTTGTACAAAAAGTGAGAATGAATAAATCAAAGGGGTGTTGAAATGCAAACAACTCCATCTATGAAACAACGTTATCTCTGAATGAAATCTTACTAGCGGTCAACACTGCTTCACATCCATTGCAACTGAGAACGTTTCAGCTTCTAAAATTAATTATTTCCATTCATTAGCTTGGTGACTTTGCCTTTCAGGTTACAAGGAGAGGAGGATATAAATTCATTTTAAGCTGGTCAAACACCACAGGAAGCACAGGGTAGCCCACATTACGTCTGATTTAATAAACTTGCACAATGCTGTCAAGCAGTGCTTGTTTAAAAATTAAGTAGTCCTGTGAGCAAGCAAGCTACAGAAAACACTGCTTCCAATCAGATACTGTTCTTGAGCCAGGGGACTGCAGAAAAGGGTTGTGTGTCTGCAAGGGATGGGCAAGGAGGTCCCTTCTCTGCTTCACTCTGTTTTTGAGAAATATAACATCTCCTATCTTTGAAATTACTCCTCCATCACTTTAAATGGGATCACACTACTACAAAAACTGAGAGGAGCGCGGATTAGTTTGGGTAGGACTTTCCCCTGTAGTATGGCCACCTCCAAACACAGCAATATTGATGAAGATGTATCTGCTGAGTTTGGAAAAAGCCTTAGAACTGAACTGTGTGAGATTCTCTGGCAGGGTTGTTTAGGTAGCTGGGATGCACACATTCACTGTCTGATCATATGGAATAATCGGAAGAATCCCAACAAAAACCATCTGCTTTTTCTTTTTTTTTTTCTCTCTCTAAGAAGGGCAATGCAGGTTTTTCATTACTGTATGTAACATTACCCATCTGTGCTTATCCAGAGTCTGGTTTGGGTGTTTTGTTTATTTGTTGCCCTTTTTAACCTGTTCAGTGTAATCTGTGCTCTGACACCAGCACTTTAGCAAAGTACCAAATGCACACTCTCTCAAGTACTTACAGGCTGCAGCTCTGTTCTGTTTGGTACTCCAAAAAGGCTTTCACCAATAATGACTCCTATAGCTAGCCAAGGCTGTGTGAAAGAAGCTTGCAGATGTAAAACCTGCAATAATACCAAGACACTGCTGTTTTCATTCCCCAAACGAACACTAAAACCAGTTTCTAATGCTAAATTCACCTCTATTTCATATAAATGTTTTCAGTGTAATTAGAAGAGAATGCTTTTAACTTACCTATTTCTGTACAGGCTTCCTCTGGGCTATATAGATGTAGCTGACCATCCACTGGCACTTTATTAGCGGGGCTCTGTAATATGAGCTTATGCTGTAGCTCCTATTCTTTTCTCCATCACTGCATTCCCTGCTGTCTCAAACTACTTATAGTCCTTTCTGCCAGCTCTGGAGTTCCTGTTTTGAGGGAATTTGTGTTCACTCTCACTTGTCACACTGACAACAAAGATGAGCTTAATTTAAAAAAGCTGTTGCTAACTCGTGGAGCTGTGAAAAGTTACCCTGAAAAGGTGACATTAATCACTCTGAAACATCTATGTGCTACCTGCTGATCTCAGTGATGCTCTAGCTGTGAAATGTAACAGTGAACATTTATACATTGGTTTTTTAAACATAAATCCTACAGATTTGGGAATAAAATTTTTGCTCTTAAACTATCAAAGGACTTCAACACCTTTTCCAAGTAGCTGTTAATGATTCTAACGTAAGTATCCAGGTCACATAATTTCCAAATAATCCAAACAGTTTCCAATTTTCTGATGTCTCTGTATGTTACCTGTGTAGAAAAGCACCCTTCCTTGTTATGAACTGCTGCCAGGTGAGCCAGCATCACTACAAGCCACCTGCAATGTCTGAACCTCCATTTTTTAAGCTCTCCATAATATAATCTTGAAAAATAATCGGCTGTCAAGGACAAATAATTATTTTCTTAATGTTTTCAGCGTGCTCAGGTACTTTTAATTCAATCAGAATCATATGTAACCACTTGGCTTTATTAAAATGGAGTTTGAGGCTCAATGCTCTCACCAGCCTTCCCTACTCATGCTGAAAGTCAAAGTTTGGCTGTATCGCTTACATCTCTGTGTTTACTGCCAGCTGCCAAGGGGGCATGATTCAAGCTGAGTCATTCCTCTGTTAAAATAAGGCTCGTTCCAATATTAACCTGGGCCCAAACAAACCTTCTGACACTGCCAGCAACAAGAAACAAGTTCACCCTCTTTGCAGTTTTCTGCAGTTTTAAAGCGAAACTGCTTTCCAACAGCACAGTTGTGACAATTTAGCATAATTTGGCTTCTCTCTATCAAGCTATGCTTGCTTCCTTACAACTGTACTACAGAAAAACTACAGAAAAACCCATAGTAAGAGAATTTTTGCAGCAGGAATTTTAGAATAAGAATTCTAGTTAATAGTTTGATGCTTTTTTTGTATTGCTGTTTGGTGGTGCAAATGAGAGGTTACGTATCATGCCACTTGCCTTGTGTCACACTTTTTACACCCTCAGCTCACTTAATTGAAATATGCGTTAAGTGGAAATGAGCAATGCTTCATAGCACATATTCAAAACATGGGGAAAAATAATGCCTTTTACCTTCAGTCAGCAAAATCCCCACTGCTCCCTGCAGACCTTTGGAAGGTTCTCCTTTTTTCTTCACCGAAACAAACTCCTGTTGTAGTCCCTTCAGGTTTACAGACTCTTGCAGGAAACTACCACCACCGCTGTAACCGTGCAGGTAATTATCATCAGAGAGGTCCTTCTGTCTTGTCATATGCTTTGTGAGAGGCACTGCTATCCACATCTGACCCAATTACCAAATATTCATGTAACCCTGTCCACTTTTGGGGTGACAGAGGTCTGAATGACTGCACTGCAGCTCTTTGTAGCAGCTCAGAATGTGCCCTGTCCTGGGACTGATGAGCCACACAGGTGGCACACGATACCTGCTAAGCAAATATCATTAGTCTCACTCAGGAGTTTTGGCACTGTTTAAGAGTAAACGACAATTTGGAGGCAAAAGGAATCTGGATACCAAAACACTTTAATCAAATACGCAGCAATATTATGTACCACACCACTGCCCTGGCACATGGGAGAGATGGCACAGTCCAGGGGAGGCAGCGCAGCAATGCCGGCAGGGCAGCACACGGTTCTGGTGTCCTCTGGGCTCTTCCCCCTTCACCAGTGGTGGAGATGATCCCGGATCCCCACCAGAACCTTCTTCATGCTGTGGTTGCCTGCAGCCCTCACAAGCACCTTTAGAGCTGAGACCATCTCCCAGAAATGAGCTCCTTTAAACTGCACTCATTTTGTGCTTCGTCGTGCCTTGGCTGAGGCTCACGAGCTGCTCCTTTGGGCACTTCTGGATGTGCCTGCACTCCTGATCCAGATGTGTGGTTGATTATAATTCCTTTACTTCCACTGCAGCAAGAAGTTGGTTGAAGTTGACAGGCTTACATTAGCAGCTGTGCTGGTGACTACACCAAACTCATGGAGCTCGTGGTAACTATTACAGAAGTCCTGTCTGTATTACAGAAACTGTCAAATATGTGGTGCTAGATGGTGGGAAAGGCCAAGTGTGACGTTCCTGTTATACTGAAAAGAGAAAACACATCTCCCGGTCCTCCACTTCAATTCAAGCACACTGATTTGCCAACTTTTTCTTCCAAATGCAGTAACTAAAGCTGTTCCAAGTCACACCAACAGTTACTGATCTCCTGTCCCTGGCAAGAAGGCCACATGGGGTTCACATCCTCTGTCTCTGAGTTAAGAAGCATCACCACCAACAAGAGCCATGGGAAAGCACGGCCTGTGCTCTGCACCCAGTGACAGCAGCCCTGCTCTCAGGACAGGCAAACCTCTCTCTGCTCATGAGGCCTCTGCCAGTGCCAAACAGCATGCAGACATTGACTGGAAGTGGCCGCGTGAAGCCTTGGCTCTTACCTGGACAGCAAAAGACACACTGTTGTACAATATACAGCTAAGCACTTTCCTCTTCCTAAACTGAGAACAGGGCAGATGCTCAATGAGGGATTTCAAAGTGTGATGAAACGGTCCAAAACAAATCCTACTTTCTTGTCATTCTGTTGCCAAGTAAAGTAAAAGGGAAGAAGGAATTTATAAGCGAGCAGATGTATTATGACCTATGCTGAGAATATGATGAAAGTACCTATGTGAACTGTGAAACACTACCTTCAGCTGCAGCACCCAAAGTAGATGACTGATGTAAAAGCTTCAGCTCACAAAACATGCAATAGCCCAAGTCGTTGGGCTTGAGACAAAACAAACATCACCAGATCTTGTGTGGCCCAGAATTTCTTATTAAAAACAAAAAATTTCTTAAAGATACCAGGGAGAGTCTTTTTTTTTTTTGTACTGTGAATTTAAAAGTTTGTAACAGGGAAGATCGTGCTACAAGAGAATCTAAAAGGAACGCTAAGCAGTCCACTCTGATTGTGTAAACGTTTGTACACAAAGGCTAAGAGTGCTGGTAGACACAACGTATCAGGTATTGTTCTAAACCAAATATTTAAGATGACTGAAACGTAGTTCAAGATAATGAATTGAGTTCAGCTTCAAAGCTGAGAGCACCTCACCAGATAGGAGCTTTTTTCTCTGAGAACGGAAGGCCAGGTGCAATTACATAACGTTGTCTTTATTTAATGAGCACTTTCTTGTTTGGTTGGCTTTTTTTCCTAAAGATAAAACCCGGTAAAAGATTCAGTTCTGTAAATAGGACCCAAGTCTGGGCAGGCTGTGCATCACTCTTAAACCCACGGAATGGTGGATTTCCTGCACCAGTATTTCAGCACACGCCGGTAGTTCTTCTGTCCTGTTTTGCACACATAAATAGAGCACAAAGTATTGTTTCTGCACGGTGATTGCTCGGCCTCTGACTGCCACTTGTGCAAACTGTTCTCATTTTAGAAAAAAGAAAGGCTTCCTTCAACTGCAGAACTCCATTCAGTGTCATTTCCCTGCAATTTCAGCACGTGCAGGAGGCTACACAAAAGGCAAGGCTTCCTCATAGCTATTACATTCAACTGTTCCAACTACAGGATTGGATAATGCTAGGAAAATGGTGTTTATGCACCTCCCAAAAGGAAGTGCTCTGACTGCAGGATGTTGGCTCTTCAGGACGAAGCAGCTCATCGATGCACTGCAAACACACTCACGCCTGGTTTGCTTTAGTTGAACCAAGATGAATGAGAGTCATAACAGTAGTGTAACCGTGAAGCAGGTCGTCCTTGACATCGTTACATTCTCTCAGTACGAAATTCCCAGTAACTATCCGGTCACATCCTATTTCCCCGTGTCCAAAAAAGCCAAAGAGGGGAACATTTGGAAAAAACTTCCTAAAGGCATCCGCCTCCATGTTCTGTTTGGTTTTGTAATGCCGATACCCTCGGCCAACGCACGCAAACATGAAGCCGATGGTGTTACACTCGGGGATGTTCGCTGCCTTGAGGCGCTGCATGGCGGCTTCCGCTGTCCTCTCATCAGCGACGTCCTGGTCTAACAGAACTGTGGCACTCTGGATCTGGGGCCCGCTGAAAGCCAGCCCGACCACCCCGCAGGCATCGCTGGGCTGGGCGTTATTACTGAAAGGCAACAGGCCTCCGTTAGAGAGCAGCCCAGCGCGACCAGGCCTGAACTGCTCTGCTGCAGCACAAGCGGGCTGCCAGACAGACCAGCATCCTGGGGGTTTTGAAAGCCACCATAGTTACAAACTAAACACACTCTTCCAGATTTCCTTTTTCCCCCTCTTTTTCCAGCAACCTTTCCTGATGAAAACCTTTCACATCCATTACCCAGGATTAATCATAAGCCTGTCTTTCAAACTCTTGCCAAATTCAGCAGTTGGTGCATAGCACAGCTCTGCAATTCCAGCTGAACCGTAAGTTAAACTTAACCAAAGATAAGCAGCAGTTCATGTATGAAACCAGGGCAGCAGTCTAGAAGCTGTTCCAGACTTCAGATCCCTGTTGCTATGGGTCTGTGCTCGTTGGTTGGCCAGATTCACACTGGTTTCAGTGGTTACCTATTCTTGTTATCTCAGTAATAGTTTAATAGAGACAGCTCTCTGATCTGGAATAATGGTGCAGATGGCATAAATCAGATGCAAAAAAAACAAACCCAAAAAACAACTCCTATCACTATGGAGTCCAGACCAACACCGTACAAGAGGAGCCTGCAGCCATGTCTGCAGCACGCTCCCCAGCACAGGATGCTCCTGGATGCACTAGCAAATCAGCAGAGCACTTGGAGCAAGGAAGCCCCTGCAGGGCTCTTGGTGGAAGGATTGGGGCTCAGTGGGTCAGATCCAGCCCAGCCCTTGGAGTGCAACATCCTTGTGGAGCTACTTGTGCTCACAGGGCACAGCTGAGGTTGCATATTCAGCTCTGTAATGTGCCCCAAAACAAGACTGACATAAAACCAGAACAGTCACACAAATGGTCTCTGCTATTTGAGTGATAATTTACCTGAAAGCCAGAGAGCAAGCACATAAATAAACAAATGTAGGGTTTCTGGAGCTGGAAGTCCTCAGTTGTTCTCCTAGCTGGGTTTCCAGAACCCAGTGTGTAACACTCATACAAAGCTTCCAGCTTTTCCTGCTGGATCACAGTGCAGCGGTTGGGTTTTGTTCTTTTAAACAAAATGTAACACTTTACAACTCTTGATTGGCATATGGCAAAAATAGTTAAAATGTTACAGCTTCTGCAACGTATTTCCCCTGTTAAATCTCTCTCACAATTTACCTTGAAAAATGTACCTACTTCTCAGAGATCAGCGATGTAAAGCTCTCCACTTGTCCCCCAGCTAGGATGATACTTTTTTCATTCAAAGGATTGACTATTTGATGAAGAAAACGAGTGGCTCCAGACTTCCAGGAGTTGTAGCCAAACAAAAGAACCACACGAAGATCCGGATTATTCTTCAGGCCTACAAAAACAAGAACTTCAGTCCCCTTATTTTGACTTCCCCCGAAGCCTAAGAGTTCTACATACACTCTTCACCCCCTCCTTAAATAACACCTAATGCCTCCAGCATGGACTTTCTGTTGCTACAAGTGAAAAACAAGGCACAAGGCAGCCATGTATTCATGAGTAAATTGTATCTGCTTCCTCCTGCTTTCAGCTTCTTTCCCAGAGGGCACAGTCTCAATTATCTTCTTACAGATTCCAACTGAGCACACATGTTATCCAAGAACCACAATGGAGTAAACAGCTTTGCTTGAAAAATTAAGAAATATTAAAATGTGAGCATCAGCCTGTTGCTTATCCCAAGAAAGAAACTTCCAAGTTCCAGGAAGACTCACAGAAAGGCTCACTTGCTCTCAGATTACTCTTCATAAATGCAAGGTGAGGAATGTAAACTGTACTAAAATAGATGGTTTTCTTTATACCTTTCTTTTTACAACACCTGACTTAGCATCTGAAAACAAAGTTACTTTATGGAAGTAAAGCAGCAGCTCCTTCCCACTCCTTTCTGAACAGAGGTGGCCAGAATAACTCCCAATGGCACAAAACTCATTTACTGTTACTTTTAAACTATTCCTGGCTTGCTTCAAACTTAACAGCTTCCTCTTAGCAGCTCTGCTTGCAACACGAATGAAGAAGTTTGAGACAAACTCAGGTTAACAACCTCAGTACTCCTGATGATGGGTATGAAGAGATGGGTGGTTACCAGAGCAGCCCTGCAGAGCCTCAATGCTCTGTTAACACACCACAAGAGCTGCTGGTCCCACATGCAGTTTCACACTGGAGCCTCAAAGAGCAGCAAAACACTTGACAAAAGCCCAGGTCAAAGGGAGAACAAGGACGCACCTGCTGCGGCAAATTTGTTTTCGTCAATGACTCTATTCTTTACTTCTTTAGGAAAATGGAAGGTTTGGATTTTAACCCCATCAATTTTGGGAAACAAAAGAGCAAATCCAGCTTCACCATCTTCAATTTCTTGAGGCTGATTGCTGCTTGAACCCATGGGGGTAACTACAATGACACACAAACACAAAGATTAGTGATTCTGACACTTTTGTCTGCAACTCAGACTAAAAGAGGCAGAGCAGCATATGCAGTACAGACAGAATGCATGACAGCTCCTTCCCATCACAACACACCTAATTGATAACCGGTGTGAATTTTTTTTTGCTGCTGTTGTGAAAGATGAAACGCATAAGATTTCCACTGTCCAGAAACAACGCTAAAGTCACTTTGCATGAGACACAGACATATACAGAAATCTTCTTTACTCTAAATGCAACGACTCAAACAGCCTTCTGTAGGCACAGAATCAACGTTTATGGCTCTTAGTGCCTTCACACAGGTGTTCATGGAGCCCCATGCTCCTTCATGCTATAGACCTGCTCTTATTGGTCATGGCTGCGGTGACAGAGACTGGAAGCAAACGCTCAGCAATCACCTGGAAAACATTGTAACATCTAAAAGCTTCTGCTGAGACGCACGGCACGAGTTATGCCCTGAAATCACAGAAACGAGCAGAAAGGTTTCCTCTTTGTTTACTGTGGGATGAGAACTGAAGTTGAGAGGGAAGGCACAAACGCACTAACAGCAGGGAGCGCAGCACACAAAGGAGGCTCCTACCTACGATCCCCGGGGTGAGCAGTCCAAGGACCTGACATCGCTTTGGCAACAGTTTCTCAATCGCAAGGGCTGTTTCTTTACTGTTTCTTTTTCTGGCTATTAAAAAGGAAACAAAAACGGCAAAGAGAAGCGGACCTGACAGACAGAAACCGGCAGCCAATCCCTTCTCACCCCACGGCCGTTACCGACACAAGAGCCCCGCGCCAACAGCTCGGGGTAAAGCGCCTCGCTTCCACGTACCGCAGCCGCGTTTTTACATTCAGACTCGCAGCGCTCCGCCCAGCGGTCCCTCCCCCGCCCGCAGCCCCGGCGATTCCGCGCCCCGCGGTTACCTTTCTTGTGCTCGTGGCACTCCTCGTGCCCGCTGAACGTCTCCGCGTCGGCGATGTAGAGCACCGTCTGGGGCAGGACGTGCACCTTCTGCAAGAAGACGCGAGACGCGAGCGCGCTGGTAACGACGGCCCGGTACCGGCACCGCCACGCACCGCGAGGCGCGAACCGGGACCGTGGGGTCGGGGGGGGTGAAGTGGCCCCACAGCGCACGCGGACCCACCTCGAGCTCTCGCGCCAAGGCCTGCACCAACGCGTGTCCGCCGGGTGGGCCGGGCTCCAGCGCCGACACCCAAGCGAGGCGCTGCCGCGTGCGCAGGATCCGCCGCGCGCACTCTCTCCACAGCCGGCACACGCTGCAACACAGCCGGCCCGCCCCGCCCACGTTACCTCAGAAACGGCGTCGACGTCCGCCCGCCGCCCCCCCGGCTCCTCCCGGCGCTTACCAGGCTGCGCTCAGCAGCGCCTTCGTGGGCAGGAAGCCGAGCACGCGCTCCACCACCTCGGCCAGGTTGCCGAGAACGAGGCCGCCCTTCCCCGGCGCCTCCATGGCCGCAGTGCCGCGCCCTCCCCCGCCGCCGACACCACCCGGCGCCGACGCGCTTCCGGTTCCGGCGGCGGCACTTCCGCTCTCGGCACTTCCGCCCGCATCCCTTCCGGCCCCGCCCCGGAAGCGGCACGGCACAGCGATTCTCAAAACGGCCTTTATTCAACTTGATGCAAGTTTACAAATCGCGGCGCGCCCGCCGGGCGAGAGGGGGGAAGCGGCGGCGGCGGCCTCGGGCCCGGGGCGGCGGCTGCAGGCACAGCCGGGCCGCGGGGGCACAGCCGGAAGGGCTCAGCGAGGCCCTCGGCCCCGCGCCGGGATTGCCGCGGGAGGCGCCGTCCGTCCTCCGCTGCGGCGCTGCTCGGCCTCGGGCTGCCGGCGGAGCTTCTACGGAAAAGAATTCACTCCCGGAGTCCGCCTCGCTTTGTGCCAATCGCTCGCTGTATCAGTTCGTTAGTTTACAAATGATTGCAACAACCCGTTAATAAAATGGAACGCCTAAAAAGGTTTTGTTTTGTTTTTTTAGTAATTTAAATAACTTCGAGCCTCAGCAGAGGGAGCCGCCCGCAGCAGCGGAGCACGGCGGAGCTGATGGGCTGCAGCGGCACCGCCTGCACTGCTCAGAGAGGAGGAGGGCAAAACCATCTGACCGTGAGCATCTCTTCCAAAAAATAGTTCGTATTCTCATCCAGCCATGAAAATGTTTAATGACTTAACATACATGTGCTTTTCCTATATCATTAATTTGGAAATACTACAAACGCTGTAATTTTAGACCAGAAAAACTACCGTGATTTGCAAGGTCTGACATTTCCTATAACAGTATTAAACAACATATTAAACCTCCTGACTTCAAATGAAACGACACAACTCAAGTCTCGGCGCTCTGCATCCTGCGAAAGGTAAGAAGTGTGACCAACTCCTGCTGAACGCTCCTGGGGAACGCAGCAGCCCACTGCAGCATTACACTTCCAAATTAAAAAAGAGAGAAGGGAGGGAGTGGCCCAAATATGCTTAATCCATGAAGAACAAATACAGCAAAGGCCCAGACTGCTCAGTCCAAGATGCCTAAGAAGAGCGGAATGGTAAGGCTGCAACTTATACTCGACGTGTCAGTTGACAGATTATCCACTAACTTATCTAATAGCTAAAGTCTTCAGTACGGCTGTTATAGGGGCACTCATAGCTCGAGTCTCTGTGTTGGAAAACGTTAAAAAGAGCTCTTTTGTTGGCATTGGTCCAGATATACAACAGTCCTCGGTATTAACCGTCTTCTTTTGGAGGAGTGTACCAGCCTATGGAGAACAGAGAAACGCATTAGGCACTGCCCTGGCTCTGCTCAGAGGAGCTTACCAGCTGCCTTCTGAATGGGTGGCAGAAATGTCAGGTGAGTAACTCTGGCTCCTGATAGCATTTGGCATGTTGAATCATATCGGATCAAGTGTACATGGCCTTTTCTGACCACCTCCAGATCTCCAACCTCAAGTCTCCCAGCCACTATAGTAAAAATTCCTCTTGGTCTTAGTACAGTGAGTAGAGGCCCTGCTTTTACTGTCCTAGAGAACTGGTAGGAGCAGTAAGCTAACAAAGATGCCTTTTGCAGCAGCAATAAATGCTGTGAACGTTTTGCGTACAGCTCCTGTTGCAGCAGCAAACACTGCAGTCGTGGCCAGCATGCAGCTAGAAGTCAACAGCCATGCTGGCTTTTGTTGCAAACTAAAAAAGCAAGGGATTCAGTTAATGGCAAGATCAACACGTCATGAAGTTGGAAAGCATCTTAAAATCTTCTGTGATCTTCTTCCTAGCAGTCCAGAAGGCATTGTTTGTTTTAGAAGTGGGAAAACCGAGGTGCTCATCACACCAAAATACACTCACGTCATGTTCACAGCAACACCAGTTCCCAAAGGACACTAATCTCTGAAGGCAGAGCTGGGACTAATTCCCTCATCAGGAGAGCAGGGCACCAACTCTGCTGACTGCTTTTGTACAGCACATAACTCACTCAAACCATCTAAAGCCTCAGGTCATCTCTGGCCTGCCGTAACAAATGCAATTATACCTCAAGCACGTTAATATTTGCTTTAAGCAGCCACAAGAACATAACTGGCTTTAAACAGAAGAAAAAAATCCATCTCCCATTCCCCAGCCAGCACTTGGACTTCTATTTTTTGAAGTGCAAAGACAAGCCAGCAACCATCTTCACTGGTTACTATTTCTCAGCGCTTGCCACATGAAAACAAAGAGGCAGACAACCTTCCATCCAAGGCTTCACTAACACATACACTCCAATAGCTACAGTAACAACAAAGCTACTAGGTCAGCTAGTTGAAAAGGAAGCTCAACTCCTTTTTGAAAAGCAATAGGAACCTACAGAACATGTAAGCTGGAGAAGTTGCAAAGATGATTGGTCAAGTTACTTTGATTAGAAAGACTACAAGCCCTTAAAGATGAGAAGCAGAAACACCATCTCCAGCCTTCCCAACCCAACCTAAGGCATTCCAGCACCTAGGTTTGGCAGTTTGATTGCTGCCAAATATCAAAATCCTAGGATGCTCTGCATACAAGAACAGAAATGCAAGGCATACATACCATTTTTCTCATGTATTTGTACTAGTGACTTATAGGACTGCTGTGCTCTTGCTAGGTTATATTGATTCTGAAAGGAAAAAAATCCAAACAACCCTTGAATCAGCACATAAAACACCAGCAAGTGAGTCAATTTCACTGACATATTTACATCTCTTCTGAAAACAGCATTTAGAACTCCAGAGCAAGTTGCAATCTGTTAGCAACACACACACTTGAACTGAATTATGATTTAGATCAGTTTTGAAGGGCTCAAGTTCAGGAGTATTTGCATGGCAGTATTTTTCATCCTCTCAGGAAAACTGGCAGGCACTTAATCCAACGAAGAACTTCTTAACATCAGCATACACAAACGTGGCAGCAAGGCTATCTGTAGCCCTTCTCACAGCCAGGATTCCCAAATCTTTCTGGTTTCCAATTCTGAATCCACCCTTCTCTTCCCCAGGTACACATCTACTTAAATGCCCTGCCCAGCCAACGCTTGTCCTCCTCAAATGTTTATCTTTCTTTAAAATCATAGTTAACAGCCAAGAAAATGATCACACATGCACCAGACACGTGTGACAGACAAATCAAAATGCAGACATATTTGCAATGACAATTCTGTCATGAAATATTTCCTACACAAGTCAGCAAAGCAATGGAAGAAGCCTAACAACGATCTGTGCAATTGATACGTGCAGTGCATTTACCTTATTGGCTCCAAACTGAACTCTGGCTTTTCCTTTGACTAAAGTGGCATTGATCTGCATGATGACTGATTCTATTGAATAGGCACTGCTCCAGCCCTGCAGGAGGAAGAAAATAAATGATATATATACTTGCTTCTTGTGCTCATTTTGCAAATCTGCTTTGGAAGGCATGTTTTGTATGGAAATTATTCCACACAGGGAATCAAGGCTACTACTGTCAAGTGCCCTTCTACTGAAAATACACCCTTCACTGTTAGTTGTGGCACTTCTGTAGTGAGAAGAAGAGTTGGCATTCACCTGTTTAGTAAGAAGTTCCATGCATAATGCACCTCCACCTAGGACGTATCTGGAAATAAACGTGAGAAGAAAATGATATTTGATATCAATTGGTAAGATACAAAACCATTCACAGCACAAATTCTCTCAGGCCAATTGGATTTTTCCACATACAACTGAGATGCCCTTCAGCCATAACCTACAATGGCAGCTAGTTAGCCATAGCATAGGGAAGGTCAATTAGTGCAACGAGACAAAAGAAACTGCTTTCCTCGGCCACATACACAGTTAAAATCAGCAATGCAGCTATTCTGCACAATTGCTTACACAGTAGCCAGACCATGAAAGAGGAGTGCTGCGTTTTGTCACCACACTATGGATGTGCTGATGCAGTTAAAAAAAAAAATCCACACCACTTCTGTTAGGGATATCGACACAATTTCAAACAATGTAAGTGCAACTATTAACCAAGATTTAGTTGCAAACAAGCTAAAGCTAATCTTCACTTGCTCTTTTCCCTCTAAAACATATTTCAATTTCAGTAACACTTCATCATGTCGTGTGCTTATAGAATTCAGCAGTCATTCATATAGCATTCAGCATATAGCATTCAGCACAGCGTGCCTGGCTGTAACAAAACCTGACTGAGGAGGCTGAATTTACCACTCCTAAAAGGTGGTCTCTGCTATGATCAGTGCATTTGAACAATGTCCATTTGTATGTAATTTATAAGGAAATGAAAAGAAGAGCAATTAAAACCAAATCAAAACCACCACCAGCTGTGAGAGGAGAGGCTGCATTGCAGGAGACACTGCACACAATGTTTCAACCAAGGTTTAGATAACTTGGAGCACAGTGCCAATTAAATACTTTAATACTTTCAGTTTAGCATTTGAGGAGTTTTTAGCCATAAGTTTACAGCAGTGTTACCAATACAGACAAGAAAGACCCCTTCAAAGCAACAACACAAAACCACTGCTATGTGGAACAACAGGAGAAGTACGATTGTGTTAAAAATTTCAGAGATCAGCTCTCAATGGCTGATCATGGCTGATGGAGAATTCCAATGCTGGACCCAACTTCAGCAATTCTAAGCTTAAAATTCAAATTAAGGAATTGCATCAAGCTGGAAAAAGCACTCAGCTGTTTGCCCACTGTTTATGCTACTTGAGAAGCACATCTCCTTATCATGCTGAGCCTTTCACCAAACTCAAGGTCTATAGCAGCTCATGGCTGCTATTTTGGGAAAATATCTCTAAGTTCACCTGCTGGTCTCAAAATGTTCCCTGCAAACCCAGACAACCAATCTCAAGTAATAATGTTTTATCACAAAGTAAGAATTCTATAAAGCAACTCCAACTTACCCTCCTGTGAGCACAGGAGATACTACTCTCACAAAGGGAGGATCAAAAGGGAAGTTATCCTGAAATACATGAACAAAGAACAGGTTAAGAACT